GCAATAGTTATTTATAGGTTTACTAAACAAAAGTGATCTTATAACAATATATAATTTAAAACTACATAAAGGCTGGACAAAATAATAAAAAAGTTACTCACAGAGATCAAAATAATTATAACTCCATGAGCAGACGGTCTTTAAAGGAGTTTAGAGCCCGTATTAAATCTCTGAACCTAGAGGGCAGTAAATAATCATGATGTTTAGAAAAATTAATTATGTATTCTGTGAGAGCATAATTTTAGATTTTCAGAAACATTTTCCCAATGGGACGAAGTCTTTCATAGTAAAATAAAATAATATCAGTCATTTTCTAAAACTTTGTGGCTCGGCTTACGCTAATGGGTAGGAAAAATTACAGGCTACGTTCACGTCCATGTATTGATCATGTGCATTATTGGTGTAGGTTTTATTGAACGGCTAGACTATGGAATAAATGAATATCAATTAAACTAGTCGAAAATCTCATCGGTCTTTTGCTGACACCAATACAAATGTGTATAGATTAGTTTATGTTAAAAACAGATTTGTTGTATTTGGTTGTAAGAAACCTGCAAGTCAAATTAACATTTCCTGTTCTTTAATGTTCATTAACATTTCTTTGCACACCGACTTCACCAAAAATATACTTACGACCAGAGAGATACGGAAGGCTGAATTTACAAATATGATGAAACATTTTGAGTCCACGTTGGCTCCTATTTGCCGGCAGGAGATGCGTGGTTCAAACATAGACCTAGAAATTCGGTCGGAGTCCCGGAATAAAAAATCCCTGGTAGGGCTCATGGAGAGAATTTTCGTATGGCTTAACATACAGCAAAATTTTACTTTTGGACCACAATATAGGGATTGGCAAACCACGGTGGGGCTGAGGTCGTATAGATCCTCCATCTGATAAGTACCCAGTGCCGAATTCAAGGGGACCCAGCCGGCCACCCACCTCCAGATTGTTTTAAAAACTGGATATATATATATATATATATATATAAAGAAAATTATATTCAAATTTTATGTCTGGAAGTGCAATTTCCGGCCATCTAGAGGTGCCATAATTACAAATTTTCTTACCTCA